CTAGGTGAACGTAGCTCAGTTTGGTGCAGAATATCAAGAATGTAACAATTCACCGGCAACCATGGCTTTCGTGCTCGCTTTGGTGAAGCCATATGCTTCATGGTGGACATCCCCTTTAGCAATTAGCAAAGGTGAGGGGAATATAACATTTTTTAAATACTACTAACATTGTGTGAAAGCACCAACCGAATTTTACAAAGTTGGTTTAATATCGAAAGCGCTTAGATACGCGCCTAAACCTTCTACTTTGCCTAATATAGGTGTAAAATCTTTCTCAAGCTAATTTTACTTTTGGTGAATAGTCAAAACACACGAAATACTGGTAGTATCAGCTTCCCCATAATAAATGGGTGAGATTAATCTAACAATACTAACATGCAACCCAAATGGTTTAATTAATGCTCCGTTGGAAAAAAAAAACCTCAATCACATTCTATTCGAAGCACTTTTTTCTTAATTTCTACAAATCTGATTTCTTCATGGTTCTTACAAAATAGATGTTGTCCAAACGTGGGCTCGCCTTTTCTTCCCATAAAATCCATCTAATTCCCTGGTTTTATTGGGCTAGTTTGAAACAAACTAATTTTAAAAGAAATATATTAAGCGTATGTTTTTTAATAGTTAAATGAATAAATAGCTGAATAATTATGTGATACAAATGAATCACTCCTTCAATTCTAAAATATAACAAGTTTTATTTAGATACTAACAATTATATTTTAAGACAGAGATAGCAACTCTTATAAAATTTAAAATATATTTAAAATAAATTATATATATATATAATATTTTTAATTACCAAATTCACATCCTTGATAAGTTTCAGGAAGCACGCCGCGTTAATCCATTCATGCTTCTCTACCAAGTAGAATGGGACTGTTTGGTTGGTAACCAAATTTGGCAGCCATATTACCATACAAAATGGGAAAATGTACTAATTCCCACCCCACCCCCCTCTCGAACTATCGCGGTCGACCGAATTGCACCCCCGAACCACAAAAATGGACATTCTTCACCCCAACAATGTAAACCGGACGAATTACCCTCCTCGACCCAATCCGCGGTGGGTTTGGTCTACGTGGCGTACGCGCGGCATTCCAGTTAGCATTCTATTTATTTAAAAAAATGTGGGACCCACCTGTCATACACTCATACTCTCTCTTCTCTTTCTCATTCTCTCTCTCTCCCATCGTCGGCGCGGGATCTGGGTGTGCGGGAGACAGCAGCCGCGGAGGAGTTGGCCGGCGGTAGAGGTGGGGGCGCCGTCGGAGAGGCGCGGCGGAGGGGGCCCGACGGGAAGTGGATGGCCACGGGGCCGGGGCAGGGCCGGACGTCAGAGGGTTGCGGGGGCTGGGTCCGCCGCCCCAAGCTCTGTCCTTCCCCGCCACCCTCGTCCTCCCCGCACGCATGCCATCGAGAGGGAGGGGGCCGAGCTCCGTCCGCCCCCCACCGCCGTCCTGCTGCCCTCGTCCTCCTCGCGCGCACGCCACCGAGAGAGAGGGGGAAGCCACGCCGAGCTCCGTCCGCCCCAAGCTTCGTCTGCCCGCACGCCGCCAAGAGTGAGGGGGAAGCCGTGCCAAGCGGCCGCCTCCTCATCCGCTGCCGCCGCCGCCACCGCTCCGTGTCCCCCGCTGCCGCCGATCCATGAGAGAGAGAGGAAGAGTGAGATAGAGAGTGAGAGAGAAGAGAGAGTATGAGTGTATGACAGGTGGGTCCTATATTTTTTTTATATAAATAGAATGCTGACTGGATTGTCACGCGTACGCCACGTAGACCAAAACCACCGCGGATTAAGTCGAGGGGGTAATTCGTCCGGTTTGCATAGTTGGGGGTAAAGAATGTCCGGTTTTGTAGTTCAAGGGTGCAATACGGTTGACCGCGATAATTAGGGGGGTAATTCGTACTTTTTCCTACAAAATGTGACCAACAAACCGTTCATCATAAATGTAACAACATTTTGACTAGAAGCTAAGGGCCTGTTTGGTTGATACCCTGAGTACCATGCCTGAGAAAATTGCATGCCTGGCAGGCATAGAAGAAGCTGATGAAGATGGCCTGGTCAGGCAGCCTGACATTTTACTTGTTTGGGTTGTGACATTTTACTTGTTTGGTTGTGTACCTTTGCCTGAGAGGAAGAAACATGATTAGGATCTGGATGAGAACCGCTAAGTCAGGTACTAATTATAATTAGAAGGAGGGAAAAAGAAGGGATAAAAGAGGCAAAATTGCATCGTTCCTCCAAATAAATCAATGTAGTACCCAGCTTTTGATAAACAAATCACTTGTATACATCATGAAGGGAAAACAGAACGGTAAAACACAAGAAAAAAAAAATCCCTAAATCCACGCATCTAGCAAAACCTGCAACAATTTCTTTCAGCTGGTTGGCAATTGATTCAATCAAACAAACCATGAAAGCCTTCAGTGTCTTGCACGGTATCAGATCTGGAATGGCTGCAGTGCCTGCTTCCTTCCCGTGCTTCACGCGAACGGCGGATACAACAGAGCGAAGCAGCAGGATGCAGAGGGATCCGGCGAGTCAGCCTCTTCCTCGGTGAATCCAGCAAGGATGGAGGTGGCTGATTCACATGACGGCGATGGAGACAACAACTGCAGCAGCTCCGCGTGACGATGGCGGCGGCGGCGGCGGCGGGGGCACGCGTGTGGCTGTTGAAATCCTATCGTTCTCTCCAGATAGAAGAAGAAGATTACGGTGGTAAGTGGATTCGCCTGGAGCTCAGGCGACCTATTTGGCTCAGGCTAACGACGTGCGGGAGGACATCAAGCCAGGCGTGGAATCTTGAGTCCCAGGGAGACAACCAAAGAACCTCGCGTTATACTCAGGCTAGTATCGGGTCAGGCAATTTCTTCCCAGGGCAGCAACCAAACAGGCCCTAAGTCTATGACATACAAATCCAATAGATATTAAAGTGTGTTGTATCATAACTGTGCTAACCAACTAAAGTCTAGACTAATAAATTATGATATATCAAAGCTTTGGCGTGGCAACGTTTGATAGACAATCAAACAACTTCTGCATGCCCTAACTCTTTTTTTTTTAAGGAAATGCCCTAACTCTTGATATTTTCGTCCTATAAAATTGATATTTAGTACTTGTCGGTGATATGGGCCCGGGGGTATCATGTTTAGAGGGAGGAGGCTGCCCCCCCAATGCCACGTGGCCCTCCCCCAAGGGGAGTCGGGCCCGAGGTAGGGTGGCGGCCACTCCTTCCCAAAGACTAGTCGGAGGAGGCTACCCCCCGATGCCATGTGACCCTCCCCGGAGGGGAGTCAGGCCCGAGGTGGGGTGGCGGCCACTCCTTCCCAAAGACTAGTCGGAGGAGGTTGTCCCCCGATGCCACGTGGCCCTCCCCCGAGGGGGGAGTTAGGCCCGAGGTAGGGTGGCGGCCACTCCTTCCTAGAGACTGGATGAAGGAGACTGCCCCCCGATGCCACGTGGCCCTCCCCTGAGGGGAGTCAGGCCCGAGGTGGGGCGGCGGCCACTCCCTGGCCAAGACTAGAGGGAGAAGGCTGCCCCAGGCGCCACGTGGCCCTCCCTCGAGGAGGGATCGGGCCCGAGGTCGGGCAGCGGCGGCCCCCTCCCGTGACTAGGGGTCAGGCTCCCCCGACCCCCTCTTTAGGTCACCACGTACAGGTGCCCACCTACCCGTATTTATGGTGACCCGAGCAGTCGCGCCAATGCGGCTTGCAGTGTACTCAACCGGTCTGTGACCGGTCGAATGACTGATGGGACTGACTAGTGTGCCTGTGCGCTGCTCGTGTGTTAGGCGGCATGCAGCCTGACATATCCCATCAAATAATGATGGTGAGAGGTTCTCATCATCTTATCCCAGCTGGAGTCGGTCCTCCCGCTCTGGTTAAAGCTAGGCTCCCTTTTCCCGGTGTAATAGGAGCCCAGAAGTTTTCACCCATTAAATGGTGAATGACATGGGCGCTCCCCGTGTCAGGCGGCATGGTGTGGTAGGCCCCACGACCAAGGCGACGTGTATACAACTTCCAAGTTAAGGAACAAGACAGGCATTTAATGCAAAGATGGTAATATTTCTCGAGGAAGTTAGGTTGTTGGGCCTATTTGGTATCCCCTTGAACTATAAAAGGAGGACCTTGCCTACCGAGAAAAGGGACGACGCTCAGTAAACCTGAACTCTAGGAGAAGAAGAGCGAGAGTGCTCTCCGTAGTTTAGGAACCCTTGTAACACTCAACCATAATCCCAAACACAGGAGTAGGGTATTACGCTTCTCAGCGGCCCGAACCTGTATAAACCCCTTTTATCTCATCGTCTTTGGAGGATTGAACCCCCTCAAGATCACACAGCTTCGCTCACCAAGCCCTCGAATCTCACCCGCTGCCCCCGGCCGAACTCACAAAGGGGGGCCTCACGGTTCCCTGATGGAGGAGTTCATTCTTCGACAGTACTCTATTTGTTCTAAAATATAAGAGATATTGGGCGGATCTGACATATCCTAGTACTACGAATCTGGACAGATTCGACTCTCCCGTATTTTTTGGATGGAGAGAATATATAACTTCGTATCAAACTTGTGGTTACAAGAAATATTTCATATTATTCCCTTCGTCTCATAAAAAATCAACATAATACCGGGTATTGACATATCATAATACTATAAATTTAAACCAACATGTAACCCATTCAATTTTATGTTATTTTTAACGAGATGGAGGGAGTAATATTTTAGAACGGGTATGGTGGATTTTTTTTTTTTTAGAAAAAGCACTCGTGTTCCAAGTCCCAACTCGGTCTTCCCCAGTTCCATCTGTCCACACACTCCACAGCAACAGGCTGCAGCCTGCACAACAGTGCTTGTGTAGTTGTGTCGCGTGTGTGTCTGAGAGAGAGATCAGAGATGAGGGCGGGCGGGTTGACTGGGAGAGTAGACCAGGAAGTCGTCTTCACTGAAAGTCCGTGGAATGCCGCGTCCCTCCATCGAAAGCGAGAGGGGCCCCGCCCTACACTGCCAAACGTCCCTCTCCCCCAGGGCCCCACCACCCCTTGAACCAAAAAAAAAAAAGAAAATCTCTCGCCTACGCCTAGTAGGGATTAGTAGTAGTAGTACTACTCCTCGTCGTCGTCGTCCTCGCCTTCTCTTTTGACGGCCTGCCTCCCCTCCCCTCCCTCCTCTGCCCCCCGCGTCCAAGTCTTCCTTCTCCCACCATCGTCGTAACTATCTCGTTGTTCATTCGCCTCCTCCGCTCCTCGTCTTCGGGTGTGCGGGCTCCCTTCCTCCTGCTTCTTCAGGTGAGACGAGCTCTGCTTTTTAATTCTTGTTCTTGTGCCTTGGTGTGTTCTTGTGGGGCTTTATTTGGGGGTGTACAGTGGATATGATCTTCGTGAGTGGTTTTGCGGTTTAGTGTTCTTGGAGCGCAGGAGGATCTCCCGGACCCGGAATTGTTATGCAAGGATGGAGAGGTGAATTTCGGGGGTGCTGGTAGAGTGGTAGTACGGCGATGGAATTAGGGGAGAGGAATTCTGTTCGTATTGCTGCTGTTGTTGTTGCCGATGCGTGGGTTTCTTGAGGAGGACCAAGGGTTCGTCCAGGACTCATCCGCTTGGGGATTTTTGATGATCATACGCGAATCATTTCGAGTGGCGGAGAAGGGCGGCCGGAGTGCCTGACCACTTTTGGTGCGAGATCGAAGAGAAAAGATAGTGTTTGTTTGTTTGGATGGTGGTGGTGCCTTCTTTTGGGGGATATTTTTTTCCTCGTTAGATTTTTTTCGCAACAAAAGTAGGGCGCCTTTTTGAGACACGAGAGAAGCCGAGATATTAAAATTAGAGACCTTTTGATCGCTCTAAAATAGAATTGATTGAGGCATAGAACGATGGTTTTGTGTGTTAGAACCTGCTTCCAGTAGACGATTCTTTGTTACTCGTTCTCATTCATGCATCTACTTGTTCTTCCTTTTGCCTATCTTAATAATTAGAAAGTTTACCGCTTGTGTGATTTGCTTTGTCTAAGGTGGGGATCAGTTCTCTACTGATGTAGTGATGTTGGCTGCTTACAGTTGGGATTCTTTGATGTTGTTGTTACTATCATAAATTAAGTCACAATTTCCATCGTACTAGGATAATTATACTGTGGCACACTAACTTTCAGGCTAGAGCATCGTATGTTTACCTGTAATTTCGTGACATGGTGTTATTGATTCTTGCAGGCGACTGCTAATTTTGAAGTGCCATTTCTCATCGTCAAGGAGAGGTGGCATTAATCCGCAGCAAGTGCTCGATGACAGATCATTATTATGCTCCTCTGAGGCTTATTCTTCTCTTGATATTGAGTGCCACCTGTTTTGGCTCTGAACTTGATGTTCAGTGCTTGAAAACCATATTCCAGTCAGTGACCGATCCCAATGGTATACTCAAATCCTCATGGAGTTTTGTCAACAACGGCACCCCTGGTTACATCTGCAAATTTACTGGGGTGGAATGTTGGCATCCAGATGAGAACCGAGTTCTTTCTTTGCGTCTCGGCAACCTTGGTCTTCAGGGTCCATTTCCTGCAGGCCTTCAGAACTGTACTAGTATGACTGGGCTAGATCTGTCGAGTAACAACTTTACAGGACTCATTCCTCAGGACATCTCCCAGCAAATACCATACTTGACATCACTGGACCTCTCCTACAATAGGTTTTCAGGCCAAATCCCAGTAAATATTTCAAATATGACATATTTAAACACACTCAATCTCCAACATAACCAGTTCACTGGTCAAATTCCACTGCAGTTCAATCTTCTTGGTCGGTTAACATCATTCAATGTTGCAGAGAACCGACTATCAGGGCCTATTCCAAATAATCTAAATAAATTTCCGTCATCAAATTTTGCTGGTAATCAAGGCCTTTGTGGGCTACCATTGGATGGCTGCCAAGCTTCAGCAAAGAGCAAGAACAATGCAGCAATCATTGGAGCTGTTGTTGGTGTTGTAGTTGTGATCATAATTGGCGTAATAATCGTATTCTTTTGTCTGCGGAAATTACCAGCCAAGAAGCCAAAGGTCGAGGAAGAAAATAAGTGGGCAAAGAGTATCAAAGGAACTAAAACCATCAAGGTGAAAATACCCTACTATTACTATTTATTTCCCTTTTCTTTTATAATACAAAAGAAATTTTGTGTAACATTATTCGTAAAAGAAGCTAACGTAAACTTCTTACTGTCATGGCCTTTTCAATTATTCAGGTTTCTATGTTCGAGAATCCAGTTTCAAAGATGAAACTAAGCGATCTTATGAAGGCTACCAATGAATTTTGCAAAGAGAACATCATAGGTACTGGGAGAACAGGAACTATGTACAGGGCAGTGCTACCTGATGGTTCTTTTCTTGCTGTCAAAAGGCTACAAGATTCTCAACATTCTGAAACTCAATTCACGTCGGAGATGAAGACACTTGGCCAAGTAAGGCATCGCAACTTAGTTCCTCTCCTAGGATTTTGCATTGCTAAGAGGGAGAGGTTGTTGGTGTACAAGCACATGCCGAAAGGTTCACTCTATGATCAGTTAAATCAAGAAGAAGGCAAAGACTGTAAGATGGATTGGACTCTGAGGTTAAGAATCGGCATTGGTGCAGCAAAAGGTCTTGCGTATCTTCATCACACTTGCAATCCTCGAGTCCTTCACCGCAATATAAGCTCCAAGTGCATCCTCCTAGATGAGGACTACGAACCAAAGATATCAGATTTTGGACTTGCTAGGCTTATGAATCCAATAGACACCCACCTTAGCACCTTTGTTAATGGAGAATTTGGAGATCTTGGTTATGTGGCACCAGAGTATGCACGTACTCTGGTGGCCACGCCAAAGGGTGATGTGTACAGCTTCGGTGTTGTTCTTCTTGAGCTTATCACCGGCGAGAGGCCTACTCATGTTTCAACTGCACCGGAGAATTTCAGAGGGAGCCTAGTAGAGTGGATCAACTACCTATCAAACAATGCCCTCCTCCAAGATGCCGTTGACAAGTCATTGATAGGGAAGGGCAGTGACGGCGAGCTAATGCAATTTCTGAAAGTCGCATGTTCTTGCACAATTTCCACTCCAAAGGAGAGACCGACAATGTTTGAGGTCTATCAGCTCCTCAGAGCCATTGGAGAAAAGTACCATTTCTCGGCGGAGGATGACTTGATGATGCTGCCACCTCTAAGCACAGATGGAGAAACCCTTGACGAGCTCATTGTTGCCCAGTAACTGCAAACCCAATGTTCCACAGAAGGCAACCAAGTGGAGGTTGTTTCTTCTGCGCGTCATTACCATGCTTAGATGAGTGAGGTGGCTTTACATGATGTACTATTAAGTAGTATCAGTATACTGCATCCGCTGTATAATTTTTGTAGCTTGTTGTTATCTACCATTGGGAGGTGCTAGCAGCAGCAATGATGATCTTTCACTCAACCGATATGGGGATGGGGTATTAACTACTCCTAATAGTAGTTTGCTCCTCATGTGATGGGAATATGCCATATTGGCATTTATTCAGTCATTTTTCATGATGTCATTTGTACTTACGCCACGGGATGAGGAATACTGAACGTCAAAATGTGTGGAATGCCACCTTATGATGTCTTCCAGCCAAAGTGCACCTGAGTATGCAAGCAAACTTGGGAATTTCATTATTTCAACTTGCAGTGTAAGAGTAGTGGGTCATTGTCTTTTGTAAATGTAGTATAGCTTTTGCTGGTTGAAACTATTTTTTTTCTTGGTCTATAAAAGCTTCTTTTCATGCTAGCCACTTCTATTGTTGAAATATGCAGAAATATCAAGATTAAAGAAAAGAATGGTGTAGGAATATTGCAAATTAAGCAGAGTTATTTTTAGCTTATAAAAACATGTCACCTTTATTTGGTCAAAACTCTTGCCTGGTCTTAAAGGGCCGTGTGCGTTCCAGGGAAATTCATGGACTTTTGTAGTGGTTATCTGGTTGATGCATCTGGAAATACTGATATTGATGGGAAAAAATGCTCCTCTTTTAAGTCGTTTTTTTTTCTTGGTGGGGGTGGTCCAGAAAACCTCTTACACGTATGAACACCGGTCAAAATTTTTGACTTCAACGAATGTTATATCTGGAATCATCAAGATTACTGATAAAAAATACCTGCAAGAAATATTAATGAAAAATCAAGGCGTATGCATACCGATTGCTAGATAGCGTTGCTTTGGTGCTCTCTACGGGTATTATTATACCACTAGTATTATTAGGAGTAAATTAATAACTAATATACTTTTTCATTTATGTTTTTTCTTGGCTAAATCGATCTATGATCACCCATTACGCTGGCATCGCTCATGTTTCATGAAAAAACAAAAAAGAAAAAAAGGTTTAGTCACTGCTAAATGATGATTATACCCCTTCGCACCCTTTTACATTTCTACTACTATTAACTAGGGTGGTTGTATAAATAGATCTGAACCCTTCGATCAAATGAGATCAATAGTTCGGATTATTTTCTAATACATGTAGAGAGTACCGTAATGAGGCTCTTGCTAGAAGTATTTCGCTGCTATTTATTTAGTGGACACATAAAACTTTTGCTCTCTGAAAAAATTTCACATGTGACTTCAGAAGCAGCATAAAGTTTACGGGCTTGTTCGGTTTGTAGGATTTTTCAAAACGTACGAATAGGAAAAACATAAAATAGTATAAAAATACAAGTGCAAACCTAAGAATTGAAAAACATAGGAAACTTTACTATGGTTGTGTAGCAAACAATACAATGGATTGAAAACATTGGGTTAGAGTGGATTATATTTTTCTTTGTTTTCCCATAAAAGTGGAGGGATAGAAAATTTTCATCTGGTGCATTCCTTTGAAACGAACGATAGTGCACTGTCCATTCCGAAGGACTATATATTACTGTACTTTTCCTTCACAATAAGCCCTAGCAGTGCAAGCCACGCTTGGCTTGGCGTGCCTTCAGCCTATTCCAACAAGGATTTTGGACCAAAATTCATCTCTAGGTCACCCACCCCACAGTGCTGTACCCACGTCTTCCTCCTCATCCTAATCCCCACGCCGCTTTTCTCGGCTTTTCATCCCCACACGCTGATTCTCGCCAGACCGCCTCTTTCCTCTCCCCTCTCCACCTCACCGACGGCGGTGGCGGCGTCCTCGATGGCGGAGGCGGCGCGGTGGCCTCGCTGGCGGAGGTCCTCGAGGCGGCGGCTCAGATCTGGACGGACGGCGACGCGGCGGCACACGTGGCGGCGGCGGCGGCTCGGTCGACGACGGCAACCTCGGCGGTTGCCTCGTCGTCCTCCGCAGATCTGGAGCGGCGCACGCGGTGGTGGTGGTGGTGGTCGTCGTCGTCGCCACCGACGCGCCGTCGTCGTCGCCGCCGACGCCGCGTCGTCGTTGCCCGCGGTGGCGCACGCCATCCCCGCCAGCCCGACTCTCCCTCTTCCCGGCGCGCCGCCTACCCCAACGTCGAGCGGCGGCGACATCCTCGGGACCTGGCGAAGAAGCGGCGGCGGCTGCGCAGATTTGGAGCGTCCTCGCCGTCCTCAACGACGGCGGCGGCGCCGCGGATCTGAAGACGTGGCGGCGGTGGCGCGTCCTCGCCCCGCCCTCCTCACCGACGGCGGCGGTGGCGTGTCCTCGCCCCACCCTCTTCACCGGCGACGGTGGCGTGGATTGGAGCTGGCCTCGGAGTCGCGCGTTCTCGTCCTCGCATCTCTCATCAGTGGGCCCCGCGCTCTACTTTTTAAGCGAGGTTCTCGTTCCTTCGCTGGTAACCGAAGAAGCTATTGAAGCTATGGGACACACAAACTTTTTTTGCCAGCGAGGACGAAGGAACGCTCCATGTAGACGAAGTAACGCCCACTGTGAAGGGCCTTACAATCCCCTTTTAAATTTTTTTTACAATAACCTGCAGCAGAAGTTTTCCAAATTAAAAGGCAGGATAATAAATGGTTAACAAAATTCTAGATCGAACGAACATCGTTTTCATATAAGTGGCATCTTTTTTTTTCTTTTTACCATTTTAATTAATTTATTTATATATAAAATTTAATTTTTCTAATTCCGTTCCTTGCCTATATTATGATTGCCACTAAATAGTTAAAATCTATAAATATGGAAATTCCTAAGTGACCTGCAAATCACTTCTGTAAAAATGGCATTGTTTCGGATCATTTCCATCACAGTTTTTATTACCCATCCGTTCCATATTGTAAGGCTTTCTAACATTGCTTATATTTATATTTATGTTAATGAATTTAGACACATACATATAGCATTGCAATGCTAGTTATGGAAAAACATTTTTAAAACTGATAAAAAATGGTTAAAGCAGGAACATAAAGCATCTGTGAGTGTTGGGTTCGGCGGTGAGCCTCCCCCAACAGTGTTGCGAACCAAAGCGAGGTTTTTTCGCGGGTCTCAGAAGGGGAAGCAGCCAAGCTTTTCCCGCGTCCCGCGACGAGGGTTTTGGGTCCGCCGCCACCCACCGCCGCCGCCGCCCGCCAGGTATGCGTCTCCCTAATTCCCCATCTTGATTAGGGATTTATAATAGTCTCTTTGTGGGGATGGGGGAAAAGTACTTCGCATTTCACCTGCATGTTTAGCATTCAGCCAGGTCCCCTAGTTTTCTTTTTTTTGGGGATGAAAATGTTGATCCGATGTGAAGTTTTTAGGAATTATTTTTAGTTTTTTAGGCAAATCTGTTGCACCATGAGGTCTTATCTTTCATTATCTGTTTTTCCTGCTTTTATTTACACTGAACAACAAAAAAGGTAGTAGTATATACTTGTAAGATTTATGCGCTTTTGTTCGGGAAAATATGTAGTGCAAACCACATATGTAGTGGAAACATGGAAACTACCGTTGGATCGAGAAATGGACGTCCGAGATTCGTCCACGTGACCATGAGTTAAAATTTATTTAACTCCTAGTAAAATTTTAACTCATGAGTGAATCTGCGAGTTAAATTTTAACTCAGGGTGACGTGGACGAATCTCGAACGTTCATTTCTCGATCCAACGGTAGTTTTCAAGTTTTCACTACATATGTGGTTTGCACTAGATATTTTCCCCTTTTGTTCTGAACTAATCATGATACCTTTGGATGAACTTTGTAGATTTTTTTTACTACCGGCTTTTACTAAACTTGCACACATTAATTTTCAGTTCGAAAGCTTGAGAGATAGATGGAAGGCGAGGATGAGTCTCCTTCTCCTGGAGAGAATGAGTTGCCTTTGTGGGGGCATGTTAAGATATTGGATGGGTTCGCTCCTCGCTGTGGAACAAACATGAGGTTCCTATGCGACTATTGCAGTTGTGTCTTTCGTGGAAGCTATTCCACAGTGAAGGCACATTTGCTTAAAATTTCTAAACAAGGTGTTCCAGCTTGCCCAGGAGTGACCTTCAATATCTTAATGAAACTATCCAGTGAAGTTGATGCAGCAGAAGATTCAATTCTAATCCAGGTGCGTAAAAAAAGGAATGTAACAGAATCTTGTAGCAGTGACTATTCTGGTGACGAACCAGAATCTTGTAGTAGTGACTATTCTGGTGACGCACCGTGTATGGGCAAAGTTATTGTACAAGCGAAAAGAAAGAAGAGCAGAGCTGAATGTCGAGATAACTTCGATGCTCAGTTTGCAAGAATGTTCTATTCTTCAGGTTACTACCTTAAACTTAAAAACTTGTATATTTTCCTTTTGGGAACATGCATAAGTTTGCACATAACAGGGTACTCTGTTTATGTTGTATCCATCGCCCTTCACTTTTTGTTTTATCTTAGCAGGCTTGTCCTTCAACTCTGCAAGGGACCCATACTTCCGGAGTTCATTTTCTTTTATTTTGAAGAATATTATTCCTGGTTATGTTCCTCCTGATTGCAAAAGGTTGAAGACAACTCTTCTGCAAAAAGAAAGGGCTCGCATTGAAGACTTACTAAAACCCATCAAAAGCATGTGGAGGAAGGCAGGTGTGACGATAGTTTCTGATGGTTGGTCAGATATTCGACAGCGCTCACTTGTCAACATTCTGGCTGTCAATGAATGTGGACCCATTTTTCTGCAAGCAATTAACAATGAAGATGAGGTGAATACAAAGGAGTACATTGCAGAGAAGCTCATTGCTGTTATTGAAGAGGTTGGTCCAGAAAATGTTGTCCAAGTGATCACAGATAATGATCCTGTTTGCAGAGCTGCTGGGCTGCTGATTGAAGAAAAATACGATCACATCCAATGGATGCCTTGTATTGCTCATACTTTAAGTCTTGCCTTGAAGGATGTTTTTTCTCCTAACAATACTGGAGATGTTGCCTTCAAAGATAGCCATTGGATTTCTGAAGTTGTAGAGGATGCAATTATGATCAAGAATTTCATAATAAATCATACCATGATATCATCTATACTGAGTGAGTTCAGTAAGTTGAAGATTCTTGCTATTTCGAACACAAGATTCGCTTCAGATCTTGTTATGTTAAAGAGGTTTCGGCTGATCAAGCAATCTCTAATAATGTTGGTCATCAGTGACAAGTGGTGGCCGGTTTACTGTAATGATAACATGGAGCAAGCACAGCTTGTGAAGTACAAGCTTACTGATAACTCGTGGTGGAAACAAGTTGATTACATTCTTTCTTTCACTGAGCCTATATATTCGATGATGCGCGTGACAGACACTGAAGAGCCACGCCTTCATCTTATCAATGAAATGTGGAATACTATGGTCGAGAAGGTAAAGGCTGCCATTTATAAGCATGAATCAAGAGAGCCTGAAGAGGAGTCAGCATTTTACTCTGTTGTGCATGGCATTCTAGAAGATTGGTGGAGCAGGAGCAAAACTCCGCTCCAGTGTTTGGCGCACTCACTAAATCCAAGGTGAATCTTGCTTTGTAGTTACCAAGTGATTTGTATTCCTGAAGCCATTATTTGATATATATGCCTCTTTGTGGTCTCTTTTGTAGGTATTACAGTGACAGCTGGATTAATCAAGCTGCTAATCGTCTACCCCCACATAGAGATGCTGAGATTTCTCGAGTGAGGAATAATTGCTGGAGGAAATTGTTTTTTACTACAGACAACTTGAGAACTGTCAAGTCAGAATATGGAGAGTTTGCTCTTCTGGGAACAAAACATTTTAGCTTGAATTCAAGAGCTGATAGGGATAAACTTGACCCCAAGATGTGGTGGGCGACCCATGGAACTTCAGCACAGGCAGTTCAGAGTTTGGCTTTCAAGCTTCTCAGCCAACCTGTTTCATCTTCTTGCTGCCAGAGGAACTGGAGAACTTACGATTCTATTCGCGACATCGTGAGGGACAAACTCCGTCCTAAATGGGCCGATGATTTGGTTTTTGTGCACAACAATTTGCGGCTTCTATCAAGAAGATCAGAAGAATATCATACAGACCGAGAGGCAAGGTACTGGGATGTAGGAGACGACAACTTTAAATCATTGGGTGGTGCTGGCATCCTTGAGTCTGCTAACCTCTCTCTTGATGAACCGTAGTTCGAGCTTGCCATGATAGAAAACATCGTGTGATGAAGAAAACCAAATGGAAATCAAGACAGAAGCTTAGCTTAGCTAAGCTACCCATGCTTCAACTTGTCTGGCGTTTTGAACTCCCAGATAACCCCTGTAATCGAGTATGTTTTGGCTAAGAACATGCAAGACTAGAGCTAGGTAGACTTATGGGATGTTTGGCTGTGTAAGCTGGATGGTGCTGTTGATCAATGTTGGTGGAGGGCAATTGAACTTTCTTTACCTGGCTAATTGGCAGCTAATCTGCCAGATTTTTGCAACTTGCAAGGATGATATTTTTTGTCCATGTTGATTTGCATGTACAGTAGCATATCTCTATTACTAGAATATAGCAACACCCACTCTTCTAGCATTTAAAATTTACTCCATGTTTCATATTATAGGTTGCTTTGTATTCTTTTTCTAGTAATTTTTTTTAAGTTTGATCAAATTTATGGAAAAAATACAACGATAGATTCAACACAAAACAAACATATTATTAAAATATATTGAATTTTACTTTTAGTGAAATTAATTTAGTGTTATAAATTTTGCTAGATTTTGATAATATGAAAATGTTTTATTAGGAAAAATGTCAAAGCGACTTAAAACGTGAAACGGAGGTAGTATGTCGAAACGTAGCAATTTCTACAGCTACCCTCTCATCTTAACCAATTACAACAATCTCTCATTTAATTTTTCCCATCTATTACCTCATCTCAACTACCTCCATCCCAAAATATAAACATTTGGATATGAATCTGAACACATAGTTATCTAAATTTAAAGCTAAATATGTTTATATTTTGGGACGGAGGGGGTATCTGGGGATGGCTAATTGGCGCGCGCGCCAGCTAGCACTCCCTCCCCTCGCGCTAGCTTTTCTTTTTCGCAATTTTCCTTTTTCGCTTTTACTTGATTTTTTGTTAATCTTCTACACACGTTTTTTCAAATCTTTAAGTTGAAAGTTTTTAAATCTTTAACTTGAAAGTTTTCAAATCTTAGCTTAAAAGGTTTTCAAATCTTAACTTGAAAGGTTTTCAAATCTGGACTTAAAAGTTTTCAATTTTGAGTTGAAAATTTTCAAATCTCAAGTTAAAAGTTTTAATTTTCAAATCTCAAGTTAAAAGTTTTTAAATCTTAAATTGAAAGTTTTCAAATCTTAAATTTAATTTGAAAGTTCTAAATTGGACTTTAAAGTTTGCAAATTTGTAGTGAAAAGGAAAATAATGTTTTGGAAAAAAAAAGTTTATCTTGATTGGCCTAATTTATACTACCTCCATTTCAGGACATAAGACTTTCTAGCATTGCCCACATTTATATATAATGAATCTAGGCAAACATATATCTCTAGATTCATTAATATATATATATATGTGGGCAATGCTAGCAAGTCTTATAATATGAAATGGAGGAAGTAGAAACTAATTACGTATAAAAATTAAGTTAATCACGCTGTCAGGGTTATGGATACCACATACCTAATAGTAGTTGACTAAATCTCGGCACGACTCACCACATACCATATCCTATACGGAAACAACCTGCGGATATAGGAAGAGTTCCGGATAAGGAAAGACAACCAGAGTTCTATATGGAAACGACAAGGACTACTCTGATTGTATCCATATTGGTTTACCTAGTTCTATTTGTACAAGGGACACCTATGGGTATAAATACAAGACTCCCTAGGAGGAAAGGGGACACACCCACCATAGAAGAGACAATCAACACCCACCACAATCTACGGAACAATAGATCAAGACAGAAGATCAACATACAAGCCAATATACGCTAAGACAAGCCGCCGGGTATCGACATCAGAGATATGCCTGGATCGACCCTATCCGGAACCTACAGAGGCCGGCCGTAGGGACGCGTTGTCTCTGATCTCGCCGGGCATGAACTCGAGGAAGAAGACTACCCTGATGTCGACTATGAGTCAGATCTTCAGACCGCCATGTCGATAACAGTTAGATATGCTACCCAAATATTGTACTGGTGTGATTATGATGGATAAGAGCAATGACCGGCTTCGACCAACAGGATGTAGGGTTATTACCCGATAATTCAGGGGCCCGAACCTGTATAAAAATCCCTGTCTCCATCTCTTTTACCTCAATCTCGCATATATCATGGTACCGACGATCTCCATACCATGCAAATACCGGAATCGCGACATCAAACGTTGTTAGTGGCGCGCCAGGTAGGGGATTTTGGTGCTTTAGGATTTCGACGAGATGGGTTCAAAAAGATGGATTCTTCAACAATAAGCTACTCGACTACTTCGAACCAGGGAGATCCAACCCAGCCAAAGTACGTCCCCCAACGAGATCTGAACCATCGTCGTCGATAATTCGATCCGGCGAGATCGACCAAGATGTCACCGCCGCGGGTTTCGAGACTTTCAGCCGAGTCCGATTGCTTTGAGACCGAGCGCTTGATTGTTCCGTCTCAGACACAAAGTGCTACTGACAAAACAGAATACTACTACATGTCGCCTGTATCCGTGGTCGGATTGGATCGATCTCAAGTGCAGCAGCCGGACAGCCAAGCGAGAAGACGGCTGACTACATCACGTGTTGACACATACTCCGTATGTCAGCATGCATACAGTGGGACCGATGTACAGTATTGCATGGTGTGTACCGAAGAGCTGAGCTATCTCAGCCATAGGTATGCATACATACGTACATAGGCATGCCATCTACACGTGCCAATCGCTGAGGACAATTCAGTTTGGCTAAAAGGTAATTAGTGGATTGATTTATTAATTAATCTATTAATTTCATAGATACATCCGGCATGTATCTACAAAGGTATACAATATTTTATCTGCAATTTATCATATCTATTCAGATCATACAGCATTGTCAGATCTATAATTTATTATGTTTACCTACAATATATTTTTTATACAATATCTGTTGCGCGGGTGTCCCCGATGTTAAATCGACTACGATCTAATGCTGAGGGCTCGCTCTGTCTTCTTCTGTATAAATCATGCTTGTTTACGGTCTACATAATGCCTGGTATTTACATCTGCTCGTTATATCCTGATAATACTAGAAGATCCATGCAATTTTTTAGTACATACTCGATATTCTCCGCTATATGTCTTGTCTTCTAGAAAATATTTTTCAGGAACAATTGAGCACTCGAATAGTTTGTGGTCGAGTACACCGTATTATCGAGAACAACCTCGACAAATGCAGAGTCGTCGCGCCCAACCTACCAACGAAGACCGACGACCTATCTCATAGCACCGGCCATGGCTGGACTACTCGAGAAAAGGTTGTTAACGGATAGTTCCTCGCGAACGCCGTCGGCTTGATCACCCGACATGATTGCGAATGGACGTCCGGATATGCTACAAGTTGGGTGTGTGAGTCATGCTGGCCATATGAGATGCACATGTAATAAACCAACTCTAGCACTTCCATTGGTGTTCGAGAGATGATTCTACTCGCTCGCTGGTTCTCGAACCAGTACTAGCAATCTCCCGCACCGCAAACCTCCATTGGTGTTCGAGAGATGATTCTACTCGCTCGCTGGTTCTCGAACCAGTACGTAGCAATCTCTCGCACCGCAACTTTCATTAGTGTTCGAGAGATGATTCTACTCGCTCGCTGGTTCTCGAACCAGTACGTAGCAATCTCCCGCACTGCAACCTCCATTAGTGTTCGAGAGATGATTCTACACGTTCGATAGTCCTCGAACCAGTACGTAGCAATCTCCCGCACCGCAACTTCCATTGGTGTTCTAGAGACGATTCTACTCGCTCGCTGGTTCTCGAACCAGTACGTAGCAATCTCCCACACCACAACTTCCATTGGTGTTCGAGAGATGATTTTACTTGCTCGCTGGTTCTCGAACCAGTACGTAGCAATCTCCCGCACCGCAACTTCCATTGGTATTCGAGAGATGATTCTACTCGCTCGCTGGTTCTCGAACCAGTACGTAGCAATCTCTCGCACCGCAACCTCAGATGGTCGTGGTACGACTACAACAATAACGCAGCGGTCCTCGCACCACGACTTCAAATGATCGAGAGACACCTACTCACTGGTTCTCAACCAATCAATCGTAGTGATCTCTCGTACATTTACTTCTAGTGGTTGAGTTACGACTACTACCTGGTTCTTGACCAGAGGTGTAGCGATTCTCCCATTACCTCTACTTCAACAAAGTTGATATCATGTACACAATATCGCCAAGTGTTTTACCCAGAGATCCCTTACCACAAAGACACCTAGCGTTGAAACCTATCCTAATGTCCCTTTACGCCATCTTGACAAGGCCTCCGAGGAACCTGAGGGAACTTCGGCTGGGGACGCCCAGAGCGGATAAGGCCTTGTAGGATCCTTTAGAGACGAAAGACCATGTAAGATCTGGTCGTGTAAGAGTTCTCACCGTGCGTATTAACCAAGCCGTGTAATCGGAAATGGATTTTCTAACTTCACGGCTGGGGGCTAGGATCAGTGCTTGTTCAACCGAGGCAGGTCAAAGGTTCAAGAGCTTTATCCTCCGAGAACGATTCTCCGACGACAAGGCTGGGGGCTACGGAGAGTGTATAACTCAACAAACTGACTGATCGAAGTCGGTAAAAGAGTAGACGCTCATATACAAAACATTGGTCTGTAAGTTTAATTCATTTTCAGTTTTCCATTCATTCTATAACATGTTACCCTTTGAGCGTTCGCTCGGGGGCTATTTCTATCTAATATTCTTTTCTGAGTATTGATTTCAGGAAAATTCTATTCGACATTATCGAAGGCTCCATGTCTCTATGGTTGTACACCAAGATCAACTAAGGCGAGTACGAGAAATGTTGACAAGGCTTCGTCGCAGATTCTACGCCTTCTCGATCACTCGAGAACAGTTGGTGGATCTCGACAAGGAATACGGAATGAAAAAATGGTGTACCCGCCGAGATAAAATTTCTTGACTTCAATCCAAATTCTCGATTACAGCAAGACGGGAGACTTAGTCGTATGCTCTGCTACTTTCTTGGTTGACGTCGGAGATTGACTCAGACAAACCCTTTAGGTGCCCGCACGAGGCTGATAAAGGAAGTCTAATGTTATCTTTGAACTCACCGAGAACGGTCACGTAAGCTCGATAACAGTTCCTCCAAGGTCTGCAGTTGAGAATATGAACTCGCTCATTTGCATTGAAGTCGGGGGCTACTGTCAGGGTTATGGATACCACATACCTAATTGTAGTTGACTAAATCTCGGCAGGACTCACCACGTACCATATCCTATACGGAAATAACCTGCGGATATAGTAGGAGTTTCGGATAAGAAAAGACAACCAGAGTTCTATATGGAAACGACAAGGACTACTCGGATTGTATCCATATTGGTTTCCCTAGTTCTACTTGGACAAGGGGACACATATGGGTATAAAAACAAGACTCCCTAGGAGGAAAGGGGACACACCCACCATAGAAGAGACAATCAACACCCACCACAATCTACGGAACAATAGATCAAAGACAGAAGATCAACATACAAGCCAATATACGCCAAGACAAGCCGCCGGGTATCGACATCAGAGATATGCCTGGATCGACCCTATCCGGGACCTACAGAGGCCGGCCGTAGGGATCTAGCGCTGTCTCTGATCTCGCCGGGCATGAACTCGAGGAGGAAGACTACCCTGTTGTTGACTACGAGTCAGACCTTCAGACCGCCATGTCGACAACAATTAGATAGGCTACCCCAAATATTGTACTGGTGTGATTATGATGAATAAGAGCAATGACCGGCTTCGGCCAACAGGATGTAGGGTTATTACCTGATAATTCAGGGGCCTGAACCTGTATAAAAATCCCTGTCTCCATCTCTTTTACCTCAATCTCGTATATACCCTGGTACCGACGATCCCCATACCATGCAAATATCAGAATCGCGACATCAAACGTCGACACACGCTTTTTTCCTTCCGTACATGCGGCAGATTTGTTGCGTCGAAAAAATAGGAACGTTTTTCATAGAGCTTGCTTCGTTGTGAAAAAATGGAAAACGCGTTGCAAAAAAAAGGTAAATGCGTCTGTGTAGAGGCCAGAAAACGAGCGCGACTTAACCTCTATGCGCTAATTAGGATTCGCGGGAGTATATATCACCAACTTCACATCCATGAATAATTTCAGAAATCCTTATATTTGAAATCTTTATATTTTTTTATGGGAACGGACAAATACCGTGCAAAAATGGAACGTTAGGAAACTAATCACCTTTTCTAAAAAAAAAAGGTAAAAGAAGAAAACTAATCACCTTAGGAAACAGTTCTGGCAAGTGGGCCCTAGCTGCCAGGCGATGCAATGCACAGCTAGTACTACTCGCGAGTCACCATCCATCTCATCTCGTCGGCGAGTGAGCTTCCTTCGCGCGGGCTGAGGTGAAAAGGTGGAGAGGGTTTCCCGCGTCTCGCGACGAGGGTTTAGGCCCAGCCACCGCCGCCGCCGCCGCGGTGCCAGAGCCAGCTCGCCGCGGGCAACAGGTATGCATGTCCGGCGCGCCCCTCCCCTCCTCCCCCCTGCCCCCCATTCTCTCTCTTTCCCTCTGCGTGTGCGCGTGCTCGTGCTTCCTTCGCGATGGCGGTCGGATGCGGAGGCGTTGCGAGGGGGGAAGCGCACGAGACGTTCACAGGTTTCCTGGACTGGTTACCCCGTCGGCGAGGAGTGATTTCCCCCCATTGAGATTAGGTTTTTTTTTTATTTTGACGCGTGCATTTTGAGGCATGGTGATTGGGGGGAAATATTGCATCCGATGCATTTTATTGGTGGGAGTGCCAATTTTGGTGGCAAAATGAAAAATCAAGTGATCTATGGGAGGTTGTTGTTGATCTCCTATATTATTTTTAGATATTTTTTAGGCGACCTTCTGGTAGGTTTTCTTTTTCTTTTTTTAACAAAATCTTTCGTTGGTGTAGAGAGGAACTTGGAGCTTCAATGGGGGAACCTAGTGTTGCACGGTATGTACATTTTCCTGGGATTTTCTAATATCGAGCAAAAAAGGAGCATTTGCATACTCACCTTGTAAACTGTTTATGACATCTTTGTAACAGTTCCAAAGACTGTGATATGGAGTATGATGATAGTTCTTCTAGACAAAGTGGCGAGCCTTTGTGGGAACATGCGGAAGGTGTGGAACGATCTGTCGATTATTCAGATGGCTTGCCCCCTACAAGCAAGGGTATGTTTCAGTCAAATAAAAGAAAGAGCAAAGCTGCAGATGAGGATCTTCATATGAAACTTCGAACTCGATTGGATGCTGAAGTTGCTAGAATGTTCTATTCTTCAGGTTAATACCTTAAACATGAAATCTTCGTGTTCATGTTGTATGGAATGCCATTGAACGCATGTTTCAATTTTCAGGATTATCCTTAAAGGCCGCGACGGACCCATTCTTTAAGAGCGCATTCTCTCGTGCCACCTCCATGCCTGGTTTCACGGCTGAAGAGGATGAGCATCAAGATGACCAGCCTTCCCTAGTTACACAAATGTTCTTTTCCATAGGTTAACATCTCAAACTTGAAGGTCTTTCAGTTTGTATGTATGGATTGTCCTTTAGTATCATTCATATTTGCAGGTTTGTCCCCCACTATTACAAGGAACCCATATTATCGGGGTTCATTCGCTATGGTCGCGTTGTTCCAGATTCCTGGATATGTTCCTCCTGGGGTCGACCAGCTGAAGACAACTCTCTTGCAGAAAGAAAGGGCTGACATTGAAAACATGCTGCAGACCATAAAAAACACGTGGAGGAAAGCAGGTGTGACGATTGTTTCTGATGGGTGGTCAGATTTTAAAAGGCGACCTATCATCAATATCATAGCTGTCAATGAAGCTGGGCCAGTTTTTTTGCAAGCAATTAACAATGAAGATGGGTGGATGTGGATGATGGATGACTACATTGCAGAGAAGCTCATTGCTGCAATTGAAGACGTTGGATCAGAAAATGTTGTCCAAGTGATCACAGACAATGATCCTTTTTGCAGAGCTGCTGGGGTGCTGATTGAACAGAAGTACAGTCACATCCAATGGACGCCAAGTGTTGCTCATTCTTTAAGTCTTGCCTTGGAGAATATTTGTGCTGCTAAGAATGCCGAAAATGTTGTCTTCAAAGACTGCCACTGGATTTCAGAAGTTATAGGGGATGCAAAAATGATAAATGATTTTATAAGTAATCATTCTATGGTACTATCCATGATCAGCGAGTTCAGTAAGCTGAAGATACTTGGCATTGCTCACACAAGATTTGCTTCAGATATTGTCATGCTAAAGAGGTTTCGGTTTGACTAAGCAATCTCTTATAGGGATTGTCATCAGTGACAAGTGGTCCGTTTACAGTAAAGATGACGAGGGGAAAGCAAAGCTTGTGATGAAAAAAACTTACTGATGAATTGTGGTGGGATCAAGTTGATTACATTCTTGCTTTCACAGAACCGATATATTCAATGATACGCATCACGGACACTGAAAAGCAATGCATTCATTTGATCTATGGAATGTGGAATGATATGACAGAGAAGGTAAAGGCTATTATTTATAAACATGAAGGCAAGGGGGCTGATGAAGAATCAACTTTTTACTCTGCTGTAAATGGCATTTAGTAGATTGGTGGGGCAAGACCAGAACTCCACTCCACTGTTTAGCACATGCACTAAATCCAAGATGAGTCCTGGTTTAAGTTACTAAATGATTTCTTTTTTAAGCCATGTAATATCACTATCTTTTGGTCTGTTCTGTAGGTGTTACGCCGATAGTTGGATTGATGAAGGCGCTAATCGTCAACCCCCACATAGTGATGCTGAGATTAATGAAATGGCAAATGACTGCTTGAAGAAATTATTTCCTGCTGCAGATGACTTGACGGCGATTAAAGCAGAGTATGCAAAGTTTTCTCTTTTGAGCACGGAGTTTGCTTCCTCAGGTACAGGATGCTTTAACTTGAATTCCATCACTGATAGGGATGTTCTTGACCCAAAAACATGGTGGGTGACCCATGGCAGTCCAACACCTAAGTTGCAGGAGCTAGCCCTCACGATTCTTGGCCATCCTGCCTCGGCATCCTGCTGTGAGAGAAACTGGACCACATATAAATTGATTCGCGCAGCCATGAAGATTGAGAGCCGTCCTAAATGGGTTGATGATTTGGTGTTTGTCCACACCAGTTTGCGGCTTTGGACAAGAACCACAGTTTTACTATAGTGATCCAGAGTCAATGTTTTGGGACATTGGGGGTAACGCCGATATTCTTGCAAGCTTAGTCCCTGCTGATTTACTTGAGTTTGCTGACTTCTCACTCGACGAACCTGAGTTCGAGCTTGCCATTCTTGAAGGGCTGGAAGGTGATGATTTGGCATGAAGATGGAGGTGGATTGGTGGAAGACTTTCTAGAATCCTAGCTCAATCTGTGAATGGCCTGATGCCACCTTTCCTATCAGGCTGTCACTCGGGTCTACCTTGTCTTTTGGGGAAAGTGGTGTGTTTTGGTTATGTACTTATGTGGCCACTCTGGTAGTATGCAAAACTTTGCAGTATGCAATGCTACTACCTCCGTCCCAAAATATAACCACTTTTAGCTACGAATCTGGACACGGTTGTCTAGATTCATAGCTAAAAATGCTTACATTTTGAGACGGAGGGAGTATATAGTAGTGGTAGTGATGGACTGGTGGTAGACTGGAAGTATGCATGCAAAGCTATGCAATGGCAGGTAGTGGTAATGGTATTATGCAAAGCTATGTGATAAGACTTTGCTATTATATATGCAAATCTGTGGAAACTGGACGGTTTGCTTTTTATGCTCGTGTCATTGTGTGGAGGTCATTTTGAGTGCATTCTTCACCTCTTCCAAAACATGTTTGGATTCACCTGACCGGTGTATAGATGTGGTAGGGTGCTGGTCTTTATGTTCTTTATTTTGGTTTTTGCGTGGTCCATGTGTGCATTTTGGAGTACGTGAAATGTGACACGGTGTGGATTGAACAGCCAGGGGCTGTTCGAGGGACGAGTGGATCCTTTTCTCCCTTGCATCCATTCTTGCTGGTGGTGTTCGAATCTTTCTCTCGCTCCATTTACCTTTGCATCCATTTTTGTTTGTAGTGTTTAAAATTCTAGTTCTTATTTTTCAGTTGTTTGGAGGCATTGGTTGGTGGTTTGGTGACGGCTTCGTTGTAGGCCTGGTGGCATATGGTCTCGTATATCGGTGGTCAGTGCAGTGTGTTAGCCCATTGGTGTAAGAGTCATCGACATGTGGTGGTGAATTTGCTTTTCTTTTTCTAATTATAGCCTTCAGGGTGTGTAGCATTGTATTTTTTTTCCTGATATATCTATATGAAACATCTCCCTGATTGGTGGTGTTTGTTTGAAAAGAAAGTTTATGTGGTGCTATGGTAGCATGTAGCATCACGTTTATGTCTATGGTGGTAAAATTAACATGCAAATCTATGTGAGTACTTTGGTTTGGTTATAAGGAGTACCAATAACACATTTGATAGTTTTGAGGGGACGAAAAACTCAGTATAACTATAAATTCATTACGTGTTTGAAGGTGTGTGCTCAATAACTATGGTGTAGTACTACTACTACACTATAATTAAGTACACGGTTGATTTTTTTTTCAATCTTTGTTTGCACGAACTCAAAGCGGATTCAATGATCCAGAAATCAAGAGTTTTTCCTCTAAAAACTGTCACGAGTTTTTTTTAAGGAATTCCGCGTGCAATGCATTTTGGGCTTGTTTACTTTGATGCTATTTTCAACCATATCATTTTTAAGTAAAGTTGCTAAAAAAATGTCTACATTTAGTTTGTTGCCAAATTTAATCAATATATAAGAAATCCTATTAAAATTTTAATAATATTATCATCTTACTAAAATTAACGCTTGGGTAGCCCTCACTCCCGTGGATTTGCCACCGTTTAACCGCGCCCTCTTTGAACGCGGGAGCTTGGACTTTGACCCGGTCAGCTAATCCTAGCACCAAGCAAAAACGACGACTTGGTCAGCTGGTCCTCGTAATGTGAAGTTGTGAACCGCCCCACCCAAATTTCCCCCAAATCGACGACGACGACGCCCCCAATTGCTCGTCGGCACAAGCAACAACCGCCGCCGCGCCAAGCTAACCCTAGCCCACGAGATGCCCGCGCCCGCGCCCGCGGCGCCGTGGCCCGTGTCGCAGGAGATCTCGTCCCTGGCCGACCGCCTCCTCGCCCACGCCGGCGGCGACGGCGACGGCGCCGCGGGGATGCGGGACCTCGCGGGCGCGCTCCTCCGGATCCAGCCCGTCGCGCGCGGGGTCGAGCGGCGCGGGGACGCGGGGCAGCGCGACCTCGCGGACTGGCTCCTCCAGCTCAAGGGCGCCGTCGCCGAGGCCGACGACCTCCTCGACGAGCTCCTCCTCCGCCGCCGCCACGGGAGCCGGCTCAGCCCTTCGTTAGCGTCCTGCTTAGCTCGCGGCAAGCCGCCCTCCCGGGAGCTCAAGCGACTGGTGGGCAGGATCGACCGCATCCACGACGTCTCCGAGCGTCTCGTTGACGCCGCGGCGGAAGAAGAAGCCGGCGAGGCGGGTCGCGGCGTGAGGTCGCCGAACCGCGTGACCGGCTCCGTGCTCACGGAGAGGAAGGTGTTTGGGCGTGAGAAAGAGTGTGGCGAGGTAATCAGCAGGCTGGTGGATTGTCCGGAGAATGCATGCTCTTCTGCTCTTCCGGTTGTTGCAATCGTCGGACATGGTGGAATGGGGAAGACAACCGTTGCGCAGTTCGTTTACAACGATGAGAGGATTGAACAGAAATTTGATATCAAAGCCTGGGTCTGTGTCTGGGATAGATCTGATGCCGCAGAGCTAACAAGGGAGATATTGCAGTCCATTGGTGGTCCGGATGATACGCTGTACGGTGATAATTCTGCCAAATTGGATATTCTGCAGGCAAAACTTGAAGTATTGGTCAGGTCAAAGAGGTTTCTACTAGTTCTTGATGATGTTTGGAATGATGAGGCTAAGATGGAGCTGGAGAATAAGGATCTGTGGAGAAAGGTGCTGGCACCTCTTAGGTCTGCCGGGAGAGGCAGCAAGATCTTGGTGACCACTCGAATGAAACTAGTAGCGCGGTATCTCAATTCGACTCATGTTGTCTCCCTTGATGTGTTGGGAAGCAGCGACTGCTGGTTGTTGTTAAAGGAGGCTGCTCTGGGTGGAGAAAGCAAGGATATTCCTCCTGATTTGCAAGAGATTGGAAGAACCATTGCTGCAAAGGCAAAGGGCTCCCCTTTAGTTTCCAAGGCTCTTGGACAGATGCTAAGAAACACCAGGAGTACATGGAGGTGGAGAGCACTTCTGGATGCAGAAATTAGTCATAACATCATTATATCGTCTCTCCAACACAGTTATCAGCACTTACCTGGACACCTTCAGCGATGCTTTGCATACTGCAGCATATTTCCAAGGGGCTGTAGGTTTCAACGAGATAAATTGGTGAAGATGTGGGTGGCTCTGGGTTTTATTCAAACATCAAGGAAGGAAAGAAAAGGGGAGTATGATTTAGCACAAGAATACTTTTATGATCTGCTTTCACGGTCATTCTTCTGTGCTGCCAGCAAAGACAACCAAACATTTTATTTCCTAGATAACCTCATGCACGATTTGGCACAGCACGCTTCTGTTCACGATTGCATGAAAATTGATGAAGGCATGCCTAGTGTGATTCCACCAACAGTGCGCCACTTGTCTGTCTCAACTGATTATTTTCCACAGCTCAAGAGTAAGTGTAAGTTGGAAAGGCTACGGACATTATTAGTTCTTAGAAGCTCTTCGTTGTCATTGAGTCATCTTCCTAGTAAATTTCTATCTGAATTTAAGAACTTGCGTGTTCTTGATCTTAGTGAGTCAGATATTTTAGAATTACCAGAAACCATTAGCCAGTTGTTTCATCTTCATTACCTAGCTTTATGCCACATGACTAGCAAACTTCCCAAATGTATATACAAGCTTGTACAGAGTGGTGTCCTGGATATGCCTATACTGCTATTTCCTGATAGTCATCCTAGAGGTATGAGCAAATTTGTCACACAGAAAACATCTTGAAACTTGTTGCAACACCAACAAGGGGTAGTCAGACTGTATCAAGGCCTAATTTTGCTTCCAATAAAAGCAGATTATTCCTAAAGAATATCAACAAGGGGGTGTGGTTGGTCTATGAAGGCTGTGCATAATGAAGGGAGTTGCCATTTCGTAGGTACAAGAGATCTGGTGGACTCAAATCTGTCAGAGACTTTCAGTGTGTGTGCACTAATTTGTTGTCTGATCAACGGAACAACTAACCATGAGATAGTATTCTAATTTGGTGGATCAAGTCTTTCCAGAATGTGATAAAGCAAGGATCTGGTTGCACACATCCTTCAAAAGGTTGAAGTATTTCCTGTTGGTGTTTTGTACCAATGTTCTCCAGGTCAATTGGCAGTATTTCAAGCCTTGTATCACTGGAGTAGCTACCCACTTTGCTTATATTTGGTATTCTGACAAGATCTGTACAGTCTTCTCTTTCTATTTTCATTTTCACATTTTGTAAGCTGTTGTACTTTTTATTTCACTCGGGTTGTCCACTACTGATCTTTTTCTTTCAAGGAAAGAAGAAAAAGAATGATGATTTGAGACTACATTTTTGTTGCATGTTGCTGTAATGGATTGTGCACTCCATTTTATGATGGTGTGCATTGGATTTCAGTACCTCATTAGTCTCAATAGACGATATACCGTAAGTTCTGATAGATGGGGGAAACAGGTACAAGCAAAGTGAAACTTGGAAGCATAAACCACATTTGCTATCTCTGTGCGTCTTTCTGTATAATTCCTGAGTAAATCATGTAGGTAACAAAATTGAAATGCTTATATGCAGGGAAGATAAATTAATTGTGATTTAGTTTCATAGAAATTCAGCTTGTGATTTAATCTCTTGATTTTGCTGGGGCCATGGGAAGGAAAGCAAGTAGAAGTAGGCCTTGGGGGGTTGGGTTTTGGGAGTGGCGGCGCAACTTCGGGGAATAGGATTGGTACTCTCTCATTTCTAAGTTGATCATTATATAATCGCATGGACATAGATTTCATCAGAATATAATTAATGCAACATAGGAGAATATGTGCATGCTAAGTATTTCATCAGAATATAATTAATGCAGCATAGGAGAATATAATTAATACAGCATAGGAGAATATGTGCATGCTAAGGTGTAATTGGCATGGTGTTTTAATCAATGCATGCATTGTGGAAGAATGTGTGCATGGTGTCTTGATTGATGTGATTTAAATTATCCTTGGTTTTGGTGCATAAACTTATATGATGATCAATTTAGAAATGATGAAGTATTATATAGTGGAATATGATGATCAATTTGGGAAGTAGGGAGTATTACATAGTGGAATTAACGGTGAGGTTAGCATTGAAATTTGATTTTTATCCCTAATTCCCCTTTTTGTTACAAGTTACCAGAATTATTAGAGTTTACATTAGAGACTTGACTACTTGAGCCCTTGTTTGGAGGGAGCATGGGATTTTGAGTAGCTAGCTGGAGAGGATAGGGAATAGTTAGGTTTCTAGCTTATAACTTCTAATTTATTTTCCGAATTCTACAGCTATGATTCTTGAAATCTGCGTGGAAATTTATACTTTTTGAGGAGCTATAGATTTTGAAAGAAGCTACATCTACTTAAAAACTCCTCCAAACGATACCTAAATCTTATGCAAAAATGGATTGTTGGGATTTGTCTAAACAACATGAAGAAATTCCCTTCCAACTCCCACACCCACACCATTTATTAACCTCAAATTCATCATATCCATGATCCATATCAACAAAAATCCCATAACCCCTAATCAAAGGAAGCAGTTAATAGCCTTTCCTCTATGAACATTTAATTCCTCCTTAAAAACTTCCCCAAACCTAAGGCAACCAAAAGTGGCCGACGGCTGCCAATCACAGTTTATGCATAAGTTTGTCATAGCTCATCTGTACGAGTAGTATTTCTGTTCAACCAATTTGAAGACGGAAAGATATAGTTTCTCACGGTAGACCGATATTACAATTGTTCACAGCTCAGTAAACTGAAGCAAGACAGTATTTGAACATGCGCAGGTGAAGTGCACCGGCTAACGTAGGAAAAAAAACGAAACATATTTCAGGAAATGTGACCAGTTCACTACAAATGCAGCACATACATTTACAGACAGTACACAATTGTTCCAGCCAGAAAAATCTGTTGGGGTTCGTCTGGTATCGTTCATCTTGCGTGCCGGAAATTTTGACACAATTGGCCAGTATCACTACAATGAAACAGAGATACATCTCATTGATTGTTAAAACTTACAAGTACAGTGAAATGTGCATATGCTAATGGTATCAAACACACCTGCAAAATTAGCCTCTGAAGTCTGAACCCTGATCAGTGGATCAGTTTCATTGGGATCGAAGCTATTTTATCCCATTCTGGTCCATCCTTATTTTGTAGTTGGCTCAGCAACGTTGGCTTGCAACCAATCAGATGAACAACCTGCAGTGAAGATGGGAAGCCACTTGGCAAGGACTCCAATCCAGTGCAGTTCATTATGCTCAGTTTTCTCAGAGAGGTTAAGCTGTTGAAGTTGGCAGGGAAAGATTCTACGGTGACCCTGGAGCAATTTTCAATCAACACTGTTTCAAGTGTGGCAAAACTAGGCAATGAATGCAGAGAAGACAATTGGGGGCACTGCCGAATGTTTAGCTCATGAAACTTCGTCAAGTTGCTCGGGTTCTCAATCTGTGGAAGAGTGGTTATTTTACTGCAGTGGACTATATCCAGTAAGGTCAGCGATTGTAAACCTTGTAAACAAGTACCCAACTCCTCGTCAGTCATCTCTAAATAAGATATTTGCAGCCTCTTGAGGGAAGTAAGTGCATGAAGCTCTTCAAACTTTACATCTTGGCAGTGCCTCAAGGTCAAATCAACAATTTCCTGCACTTGTTGCTGGTGGAACAAACCATTGGTAAGGACAGCGGCAGAACATGTTTCCAATTTAACTTTGTTGGCTTTTGATGATGAAGAAGAAGATAGTTTCAGGTGTGACACAAACCCTGTATTCTCAATACTGACCTTTCTCACGGACTGCGGGAAGGGAGGCACTTTAATCAAATCGGGACAGCTCAAAAGCTTCAGTTTACGGAGTCTGGGGAACACGCTGTCATACTTCTCTTCTTCTTTGGTCCACTCAACCCATTTTGGCATATCATCAAATTCAAGGTCCTCCAAATATGGAAATGCAGTTGGATTGGTTCCATAAAACTCACTTCCAATCTGTTTCAATGAACACATCTCTTTCAAATGCAGAACTTTGAGGAAGGGAAGCTGCCCAAGAGGAGGCAGGACCGCCCACTTTCTACAGTTGGTCAAATGTAAATATTTAAGAAATGTTATGTCCTTCCTGTCCAACCAACATGGTGAGGTATTACCGTGATATCTCCTAATATGAATCTCTTCAACATCTGGATGTGGTTTAAGGCCTTCTAAGACCTCAGCATCGACAGAAGGGACACTTTTGCCAGGGGAGTTCCATTCCAATTCCAGCACCTTTATGCTCTGTTTCTTGCTTAATCCAGCTTTGCTGGCCTCTTCTTTGCTTGCTACAACATCAAGGTTCTTGATATGGAGCTTTCTTCGGAGATCATTCATATCGTTCAAGTCTTCTAATGTATGACCCTTTTCCTTTTTAACATGGAACTCAATTGATCCCTGGAGATGGATCATTTTTCCAATTCCGACAATTTTCGATGTGTTTGTCCTGTTTATATCCAAATGGCGGAGATATTTCAACTTCCACATGTCTTTTGGAAACTCCTCAAGCTGACACCTCTTAGGGATATATAGGGTCTCAAGAAGGAAAAGTTTTGTCACTGATTTTGGAAGCTTTGTAATCGTCTTGCAAAGAGAAAGGTACCTCAGATGTATCAACTGGCCAACTTTATCTGATAATTCAACCATATCACAGCCATCCAAACCAAGCACACGGAGACCTTTCAATTCCTTGAGGACATCATCTGGCAATGGAACAACGGAAGATGAGGAATGCTTGAGAATAATGAATGTGCGCAACCTCTTGAGCTCGGCCCGACCTTTGAGCTGCATCACCGCATCACTGGTCACAGATAAGTGACGGACAGTATCAGGTATGCGTATGTCTTTTTTCTCAAACTCTACACTTTCAACTCTTGCGCAGTCAATTCGAGAGACATTGTCGGCCAGGTCATGCATCAGGTCGTGGATGTAGTAGTAAGTTCGGCGGCCTTCCTTGCGCTCATGGAAGAATGATTGTGCCACAAGTTGATTAAAGTACTCCTTCCCTACATCCTCCTCCAATTGATTCTTCGTATCATCTGGCCTGAACTGGATAAAACCCAGGGCCATCCAAATCTTAATCAACTTGTCACGATTGAACCTCCAGTTCTTTGGGAATATGCTGCATATCGCAAAGCATGGTTGGATGTGCTCCTGCAGGTTCTGATAACACAGCTCCAGTGTGGAGCTAACATTGTCATATATTTCCATCTTCAAGATCCTCTTCCACTCAGTCAAACTTGGTTTCCGCTTTAGCATGCCACCGACAACCTTGGCAGCCAATGGCAACCCCTTGAGCTTCACAGCAATCTGCTCCCCAATTTCCTTCAATTCCGGGTGCCTGTCAACATCATTGTTGTCGAAGGCAAACTTCTTGAACAACAACCAAACATCAGCGAACTCCAGCCCATTCAGCCAAACAAACTTGCTCGCATTCAGCAAGTCTGCCACAATCCTCTTCCTGGTGGTAACCACGATCTTACTCCCAGCTCGGCCAAATCTGAGGGGAGCTAACACATCAGCCCACATATCCCTGTACGAGTTCTCATTCTCATCTTTATTCCAGACATTGTCAAGAATCAGCAAGAACCGGCGCGACGAGACGGCCTCCTTCAGCCGCCGCTGCAGCCGATCGAAGCTATTCGTGTCGTCGGGGAGTTCCGCGGACTGCAGGATTTGCTTCGCGAGATCGAGCTTGCTGTAATTGCCTGCGGGACACACCCACATGATCAGATCGAAGGCCTCCTTCACCTCATGATCATGGCACAGGACGCGTGCGAGCGTCGTCTTCCCAATGCCTCCGAGCCCCAAGATAGCGGCGACGGGGATGGTGTCATCGGCGGCGGCGCTCCGATCCTCGCCTTCGGCTTCGGGCGTGCTGCCGATTAGCCAAGACACCAATTGCTCACGCTCCTTGTCGCGCCCAAACACCTCACCATCCTCCAGAATCGAGCCGGTGACCGGACCATCCGAGGTTAGGAGCGTGCTGCTCGGCTCGCCGGAACCTGGCTTGGTCAGCCCCGCCGCCTGCATCAGCCGGCCGGAGTTCGCGCGGATGCTGCTCAGTTTCTCCACGACGGCCTTGAGCCTATTGACCGACTCGTCCTTGCCAACGAGCTGCTTGCCGATCTTGCCAATGGAAGAAGACCCTAGTAGGCTGACCTTGCCGTCGTTGGGGGCGAGCCTCCGGTAGGCGAACTCGTCGAGGACGTCGTCGGCCTCGTACACCACCTCCTTGAGCTGGCGCAGCCAGCGTACGAGCTCACAGTTGCCTCTCCCGCCGCCGCCGCCGCCGAGGCAGCGCTCGACGCAGCCCGCCTCGGCGCGGAGCTGATTGAGCTCATCCTCCAGCTGCTTGAGCGCGTCGGGGACGCCGCCGTTGAGCCACCTGAACCTGTCGGAGGCGCAGGACCTGGCCTTGTCGACCACTATCCTGATGACCGGGCACACCAGCCAGCCGACCACCGCCGCCTCCCCCATCTGGTCAGTCGGCCGGGCCGCCGTCGGAGAGCGAAGCAAACCGCGGGGGAGATTGCGGACGAACAGTGGTGGACTGGTGGTGGTGGCGAGTCTTCCTTCAAGTCAACGGCTATGGCAGAGAGAGAGAGAGGAGGGGTTTGGGTGGGTGGTCGGGCTGAGGAGAAAACCATTTTTGGGGCGTATACCCTCGCCATTTCGGGGCGCCTTCCCCTTCCGGCGACCGGGCGGAGAGGGGCGTTGACTCTGACCGGTTCACGCCGCTGGGCGCTGGCGCCGCGCGGGCGTAGGGTCTCTCCCGCGACTCGCCTCCCGTTCCGGCCACGTCTGCTCACCCGCCGCTGCTGGTGTGGCGCCGCGCCGCCCACCGGGCCACGGTCCGCCACAGAGCTCGCCATCGGCGGCAGGGGCGGAGTAGGTGATTTGGGCCGTGCCGTGCCGGCCCACCATGCTGGGGCGGTGGCCCAAGCACGGCGTGCCGTGCCGAGCCCGGTCTGGCACGGAAGGCGCGGGCCATTTGTCCACCTATAGGCTGGAGGAATAAGTTCACTTTTGGTCCCTCTATTTGTTGCCCAGTCCCATTTTCGTCCCTTGACCATAAAACTGGGTATGACCCGTCCTCCAACTTACGAAAACCGGGTAAATGTGGTCACTCTATGGTTTTGAAGGCAGTTTTCGCTGACGTGGCGCCTACGTGGCTTGTTTGACTAGGTCTTCGTCCCACGTGACATTGACGTGGCACTTACGTGACAATTACATCTCGAAAAAATAATAAAAAGTGTGGCCCCACATGTCAGCTGCACACACAAAAAAATTAAAATAATGGGGCCCATGTGGGCCCTACATGTTACCCTCACTCCTCTCTTCTTCCCTCTCCCTTCTCTCTCTTCTTCCCTTTCCCCTCTCTCTCTCCTTCCCGGGCAGCGGATGGCGCGGGTGGGCGGTGGAGCAGGCGAGCTCTGACGGCAGCGGTGGGCGTGGTCGGCGTCGCGCCTTGACGGAGCGCCCCCGGTCCGCGTGAAGGTGAGCAGTGCGGTGGCGCCCTGGAAGATGGCGATGAGGATGGCGAGGAGAGGGGAAGCCGAGGGGGGAAACGAGCGACGAGGAGGAGGACTTCCTTGTCGGGTCCGCCCGGGACGCCGCCGCCTTCTTCTCTAGCGCAGTGCTCACTGCTGGGGAGCCCCCCCTCCCAGAATCCGCCGCCATCCGTGTCGCCGCCGCCGACCACCCGGACGCCGACCTCTCGGCGCCGCTCCCTCCTCTCCCGCCGCCACGCGCCGCTCCCTCTTTTCCTGCCGGCGGCCATCAGGGAGAAGGGCGGCGGACGGCTAGGTGAGCAGCGAAAGAGAGAGATGGCCGCCGCCGCCCCACAAGCCTCGCGCGTCGTCGCCTGCCGCCGGCCATGCGCTGTCCGTTGCCACGCCGCCCGCTGCCGGCGCGCTGTCCGCCGCCGCTCGCCGCTGGACACCGCCCGACGAGAGGAGGGAGCAGAGAGATGGGGAGAGCCGGAGAGAGGAGGAAGAAGAGGATTGGATTTGGTCATTTGAGAATGACATATGGGGCCCACGTGGGCCCCACCATATTTATTTTTTTATGTAGCTGACATGTGGGACCCACCATTTTAAAAATTTTTCCTGTGGCTGATATGTGGGCCCACAATTTTTATTATTTTTTCGATATATAATTACCACGTCAGCGCCACATCAATGCCACGTGGGACAGAAAACTAATCAAACAAGCCATGTAGGCGCCACGTCAGCCAAAACCACCTTCAAAACCACCGAGGGACCTCGTTTGCTTGGTTTTCGGAAGTTGGGGGACGGGTTGTACCCGGTTTTGCGGTCAAGGGACGAAAATCGGACTAGGCGACAAATAGAGGGACCCAAAGTGAACTTATTCCTAGGCTGGAAGTTGGGTGGTGATGGGTCAGGGTCCATGGGCTCTTTCACAACCCACCTCAACCCTTAAGAGCCCCTTTAAATCTGATGAATGTAAAAATGGAGTATGAAAAACACGGGATTCTAATAAGAATGTAAGTGCAAAACAGATGATTGTAAAAGGGAAATTTCCAAGAGGTTAGAGCTATTGCTAAATTTCTTACAAAATCTCTATAGGATTGTCCATTCCATAGGGATTTCAAAGGATCACATAGGATTCAATCCTTTGTTCAAAGGCCTTAATAGGAAATTTTTCTATAGGATTGAAATTCTCCGAAATTCCTATGTTTATCCTCCGAATCAAAGGGGCCCAAATATTTTCAGCACAAAAACTACTTATAATTTTCAGTTCAACCATTCTTAGATCCAACCGTCACATTGTGTAGGTCAAAAAGTTAGACCCATTACCACCGTTGCGCAAAGGTAGAAAGGAGTGGGCCATGACCCATGTATGTGGAGGAGGCGTAGGAGTGGCAGAAGGAAAAAGTCCATTTTGGCCCGTCACCGTCAACTATTGATCGAATCTGATTGGTAATCACTCAACCATAAAACCAGAGATATCGTATCCCAACAGCTTGTTTGGTAACTCGAGGGAAGGGGATTAGGAGTTTACACGAGGGAATTTATGATGAGATTAATATGGGAATTTGATTTTTAATCCCAATATCTTGTTTGGTAGGGGTGATAGAAATTGATAGGGAGTTTAATTGGAGATTAGGTCATTAATAAAAACGGATGGCTGAGATTTGTTTAGACAAAGTAAAGGAGGAATTCCCTCCCAATTACCTGCCCCTACCTAGGTATTGAAAAGGTGGGAGTTCCTTTCTCAATTCCCCATCCCCATCCCACCAAAATTCCCATGTCTCCCAACCAAACAAAACATTTAATAGCCTCATTCCTCTAAACTTCCAATCCCTCCTGAAAACTCCCTCCAACCAAACGGGCCACAAGTGTTAAAACCAGGGCCCAAAATGACTCCCTTGATTTTAGGGTTGTTTTAGATGACCTGTTGTAAAGTTATGATCAAGATGATGAGTTTAGGTCAAGAGTTGTTGCTTGAATTCATCGAAAGTGGTGACAACAAAATGTGACGGCAATAAAAAGGAGAATGGAGTAAACAATTCTGAAGGATTGGAATCTGAAAGCTTTATCAAATGCAGCATTCTGTTGAGATGGTTCTATTTCAAGCATTGAGCCGACATTGATCAATATGGAAATCGGGTCTGAATAATCTGGATTAGATATATGTAGGCCCATATATGGCACAGCCCATGTACTAATGAGTCTTTTACTCCTTTCATCTCTAGAAAAGGAACAATTAAGATACCCAAAGCACATATTTGTTGTGTCAAAATTGGCAATTCCAAATATTTTCAGATAGGTTATGAAAAGTTCCATTGCATCCACAAACCGTTTGTGGGAATTAGTAGATCGTGATTCGTGAGGTCTATCTCTTCAAGAAACCCCGTTAAGCTGATGGTCAACTTTATTGCCGACTTCTTTAAACTTTTACTTGAAACGTAAATCAAAGATGAAAAGAACATCAAATGATGTAGAAGTACCGGTTTTTTAGGCTTGGTTCACCTACTCCGGAAATTGTTGTGTTGCATATTCTGAAAATATAATAATATGCATGCTTTTCGTTTGTTACAAAGACTTTTCTCCAGCTTTTGGAAGAATTCAAAACTACTTTGTGTAAACAATAATAGTTGCATGGCTCCAATAAGGCAATAATCCTTGGAAAATACCAATGCCAACTGCAGGAAAGCGAAACATCCCACCTGAAGCACCATTTTCTGTTTCATCTGCCAATTTGAGTCCTGCTTGCAAACTTCAGTCCCATTCCACCATGGTTAATTTGAATTTGCTTACCGGACTTTGGAACAGATGACTAAACTGAGGGCTTCTTGACATAAGACCATACCCTTAACCTTGAACATGTGTAATTTCTGCCTAATATAATTGACCAGACATGCTTGACTATTCTGGTAGACCTTAATTAGTTAATTACTATAGAAGACCCGGCGCAGCTTCTGATCTCACTGTTACGCGTAATATGTACATGCACAAGATTAATGTGTTGACCCAAGATTGTTTATCTTGCAGGAGTATCTCTAGTTGTTTTAAAACCATGAAGTCAGCTTTGTGTTTTGGTCAGGTCAACTTTGCTACCCTTTAAAAATTTACTACCTCCCTACTGTTATCCCATGGATAGGATCAAAATACAGCAATACAAACATTTACAAATGAACAAGTCGAGCCATCAGAACAGTCAACAAAATCATATTTATGACTTGCAAACAACTCTGCTTGCCTGGTTTAATGTGATGTTTCGAAGACATTAGCTGTAAACTGAAAGCAAATTGCAGTGCATATTAAATACCTAGAAGCGGAAACGAATTACTCCGTACTTTTGATAGAGAAATTATTCTACATTTCTACGGAGAAATAGCTAGCATTCCCTTTCTGACATTAGCTTGCTTGTTGCGGCAGAATTCAGAAAAAAAGAATCACTTGCCAACTGGTAGCTTTATTGAATTGGCCAAAGAAATTATTGATAAAGAGCTTGTGCCGTACCATGGTTATTTTAATATGCGATTCATAAGAGATCAGCTACGGTTGGTTGAGTGATTCTCAGCCTTTTTTTTTTAGATAAGTATTAGAGAAGTTGTATAATATACAATATTTATTTTGAGGGTCGCAAGTCTGAGACAGATGCATGAACAACAGATGACAAAAATGTAGGCATAGTCACATGGTCAATTTGCCCTATTTGAAAGTTTAGTAGTTTATCCACCCGTACATTTTTTATGCGTGTGTATAGCACATGTTCTTTTATACGGTCATCTTAGAAAAGTCTTTGAAAACTTATACATGCAATTTTTCACAGAATTACAAAATACAGTAGTGTTTTCCACGAGCAAAATCATAGGGGAAAAAAAGGAGGAAAAGACTCGCCTTGTTTGCTTTTCTCTTGAAGTCATGAAATCAAGATACTCTCCAGCCTCCAGGAAATACCAAGCAGTTTGGAAACAGAGAACTGGAATACCTCCTAGCTTAAGCGGTATTAATTCTAGTCTAAAAGATGATTTTCAAGATTGGAAAATACTCCCAACGTTTTATTCTGCAAGTCGTTTTGACTTTTGTTCTAGTTAAAATTGTTTAAGCTCCAACAAGCTTATAAAATTATTTAGCAACAACTATAACATCAAATTAGTTTTGTTAGAACTACATTTAATATATTTTAATATTATATTTGTTTTGTGTTAAAAATATTAGTATGTTTTTCTATAAATTTGGTCAAACTAAGAAAAATTAAAATGCCCGATTCGGTGCTAGTTATTTCCTCTAAAGTGTGAACAGTTATTAGCATATGG